TGAACATGCGAGTGCCCCACAACTTGAAGTTGATGGAGAAGAGGGGAGTGTATTTACATGGAAAGTGGTGATGTTGGGATATGGATGTGGAACCCTAGTTGGATTGTTGTTGGGATATTTCATGTTATCAACAGGAAGGCCAAAGTGATTCAATGCAATTGCTGATGAAATAGAGCATGTGATCCAAAGAAGGCAAAACAAGAGAAGATAAATCATACATATTGGGAATTGAGATTAGGTACGTGTTTCCCATGCATGTCTTCTTTTCTATAAATGTCAACAAAATTAATGCTTGTTATTTTTCTTTTTTGAAATTTTAGTTATGACGCAGGTTGGGATGGAGCTATGTTGAATTATCCTATATATGCATGTTTGGAATCATGTTGTTATTAAAGCTTAGAAATAATTCGTTAGTTAGTTTATGTCCTTGTGTCGTACGTTGGTCATAAACTCATATTTGTATAACATTAATATTTAATTTGAAGTCAGATAATATATGTATCAAATAAATAATTTAAGACCTCGAATATATTTTTTAATCATTCACTCTTCGGTTTTGTATTTAATTAGCTATGTTTCGTGTCTCTTTATACCTAAGTCATAACATAAGAGTATGTAGATAGCAACAATTAGTGTTTTTATCTATCATCAATGGTAGGGGCAACAACGTGATGTGCGATTTGGAGAATAGACAAACGATGGAGCGACGAGGAGTGGCGAGGGGGAGTGATTCAGTGTTTGGGGTTTGAATGTCATAAGGTATGAGAACAGTATAATTGTTTTGGGTTCATTTTAAAACCTTCCTAGTCAGTTACAGATAGCTTTGTTTTGGGTTAAAATGATGTAAGCACTAATCTAACGACGAGTAGTGGAATGGAGGTCGGTGAGGTAGGGGCATAGGTGGGGGTGGGTGGGGTGTGACACCCCCTCGCCACCACCACAACCACCAATACCACCATGCTACTAGTTATTTTCGTCATCACAGCTGCCAGCCCCACCCTTCTCCCAAACAAAGATGGAGATTCCATTACAATTCCTACCAACCAAACGCGTGGTCGAATTCCATTCCAATTCCTTCAAAGTCGAATTTTTTTGACGGATTCCAATTCTACCGAATTCCGTTCTGTGAACCAAATGCCCTCTTAGATAGTTGTTTATACCCTGTTTCACATTGGCTTTTTCTTGAGTTCTAATGTACCTAGCTATATAGTCCATAAATTMAAAAAAAATTAGAAAAGAAATACTAAACATGCAACTATATACAAAATGTTTGTTAGAAAAGCGTGATAATTAGAGACAAGTTACCAATCCCCAGTTTGTAATATTATGCAATTACTTTGCGTATATAGAAATGGAATTGGCGTTATTTGGTTAGTTCAAAAGCTTATGAAACTCTGCTACTATTTCCAAAAATTACTAGAAAATGAAATTAATGAAAACAAATGAAAAKAACCTATATACACATGCATCAAATGAAATTAATGAGGTAATGTATTGAAGAAGGATGATTCAAGAGGATATGGAGTCAATACCTTTTGCTTAGGTCCATTCCCATTGAAAAGAGGAGTCGGTTGATTAAAGAAGCTTACTTCAGTCTGTCTCCACCTGCATTACAAGCCACATAAACCACAGGATACAAACCTAATTAATCTACTTTCAATGAAACCAGGTCTTACCCATAACCAAACAACTAAACGCACCTTCAACAAGTACCCGAAATATTGCAATCATGCCATCTATRATTTTACACTTCTCGGCATCTTTTTCTGCATTGTGTGTGGATAGTGCTCGCACCAGATACCATGTGCACTGTAGAAGTCGAAAAACCAAGAACCGCAATTTCCTAACTTCACAATCAATAACAAATTAAGATCATATATATGCATCAAATGACCCAAGTAGCTAGAAAGCTAATTGAGTGAATTAAGAGAATTACAAAATGGCTCTGCTGAAAAGACACATAAGACATTGAAAGAAATAAAGCAGAAAGTGAAACTACTCACGTCTCACTTGTTAAACTAAAATAACCATCAACAATTTTACCATGCTTACTACTGCAAGGAACAAGAGAGCCTTGTCAMATATATTTGCCATACACAGATGGTGACTASAAAGGAAAGCWTCCATYAAAACCATGATATAGAGAAGGAAAATGCATGATCATGAAGGAATCAAATATGACAATTACCACAAATGTTCCCAAACGCTCCAAATGTTCACCTAAACCTATAAACAAAACCATGATCACTACTCATGCTTAAAACATACAAATAAAATCCATTGATCTGAAGTGATCAGAACTTCCATTAAGAACTGCCAAACCTTAAGGTGCCATATGATCCACCAACCGATGAATATTGGAGCAGTTCCTGTATCAATAACTAGCATGTGTGTGGTCATGCTGGCTGAAACTTTTAGGAGAAAAGATCGATAAAATAAAAACAGGTAGACCAAATTAGAAGCAAATGAAAGGCATACTCAACCAACAAGAAGAATGGCACACATGCTTCATACCAATCAGCAGCTACAGAAACAAAAGATGGCACTCGGTCATGGGATTAAGAGAAAAAATTTCCTAAGACAAAGATAAATAAACCACATCTGTTACTTTGACKATTTTTACAAAAAATCGTAATTTGACAATTTTTACAAGATTGCCTTMTAAGATATGAAAGAAACAAGAAAGGAGTACTTATAAATAACAAAGATGGCGGAGTACAAGATATAAAGTGCAAAGGGTCAGATTTTGCATTTAATAGTATAAAAGACAACTAATTGAAGGGTAAAATAGAAATGTAGAACAATGGCAATGAAGAGGATTTTCCATATCTTGGGTAGTTACTATTAAAAATCATCAGGGATTTGCCAATACCCCTTATCCATTAACAGCCCTCAAGCCATAATGCTTCCTCCAGCCTCTCGTTGAACCTTGAAAACATTGCAGCCAACTGCATCAGATGCAACTACATAAATAAAGATAAACAATACAATTGTGTCATTATAAAATTCAAGGAAGAATAAACAAGTTTATAGTAGTTAATTTCACCAACAGAACCTCAAAAACCCTGATAAAAAAAACAATCAAATTCAAAAAGAAGAATACATTTTGAAAAAGGAGAGAGAATGAAACCTGGAGGTGAGTGGCGATGAGAAAGACAAGTGGGGAAAGAGGCGACACGGGCAACGATGACAGTGACCACTTCTATTCTGCATCAAGAACCTAAACACATTCGTTTCAAAACAATCTTGGATATCTTTGCGAAATATGGGTGCATCAAGAACCCTAACACCTATTTTGCATCAAGACCCTTAACGCCTTTGTTTCTGATATGTTGCCGATGGTGCTTCATTGAAGAGGACGARGATGAGGGGGAGAGAGATATGGCCTCCGACAAAGATGATCGTGGGTTAGGTTTCTGTACTGTATTTATAGATATCTACCTATGTTTATAATGGTGAGTAAACTACAAATTTGGTCCTTGTAGTTTGTTGGGAATAACACTTTTAATCTCTACACTTTTAAAATTACAAAATGACCATTGTGGTTTGTAAAAGCGTCCGAAACCATAAAAACTTGTTAAATAAAAAATATTTTGGTCTTTTTATAAATTTCATCACATTGTTCTTTAAAAAATAAATAAAACTTAAATACATGGACCAAAAAACAAATATATATACATATACACACACGTCTCCGCTTTATAATTCAAAACCCTTCATTTTCTATTACATCAACATAATTTAGGACTCATATATGTTGCTGTAGAATAAATCCTGGCAATTTGCAATTTTGAGAACCCATTTGACAGTTATGGAGAACCCATATTGGAGCCTGGTGCAAATTTCTAGAACCCATCTTGTAGCTTTTGACTGTTATGGAGTCTTCCGATGAATTCTTCGTCATCCACTTCACTTTCGCTTGCCAAACACTACCAAAGAAATGACTTTTATCCACAAAATGATTAAGGAAAATTTTCGTAGGTAATCACCAAATGATCACCTAGAAAAATATTAATGGTTCGGCGGAATTCGATATTTTTCGAAAAAAAAATGCCAACGGATCACCCAAAATATATGTCGGTAATCTATCACGGATTTAAATTATCCACGAATTTTTGTAATGTTTGTGAGGAATCATCCTTTAATGCAGATTTCCTAAGAAAAAATCTATAGGAAAACCAATGCCAATCATTTATCATCTTTGTTCCCTCCCCCTAACGCACCCCTTTCCTTTTGATTTGCACTCCAAAGTAGATCGAACCCAAAATTAATGACTCTTTTGAGGTAGTCAAAGGGACCAAAAAAATGCATAATAATTAAAGAAACGATGAAAAAGACTAAATTCTCCCTGAATTGACGACTCTTTTGACGATAGTTAGTAAAAGGGACCAAAAACGCTTAAAGTGGTAACCATAGTTACTAAAAATGTAATCGTTTTTAATTAGGACACAACTTGATAACAAATGGCAWCTACAAAGACAAAAAATATAACTTGGGGCGTTTGGTTAGAGGTGTTAGGCAACAATTAATGAGAATGATAATAAAATAAAGTTGTTTGGTTTTATTTAATAAAATGGTTCATTCTCTCATATGCCTAGATTTTCTTTCCAGTTAAACTGGAGGAATGAAAAGTGATTTCCATTTTCATTATTTGTCATTTTCATTTTTATTTTTCAGTCTGAACCAAACAAACCCTTACTCATAAATATATATTGAAAATATGGAATGGCGGAACAGAAAAAATAGGTATCATTTGGGTTTGTTCATCAAAAGTTCAAAAAAAAAAAATTAAAAAAAATCAAACTAATTTTCTTATTTTGAAGAAGTAAGTTTTTGAACTTTTTTTACATGAAAAGATCATTAAATGTTCTCTTTTTGAATGATCAAGTGACTGAACATTTTTTTTTACAAATAAATTATAGAATTTCCCGAGATTAGTTAATTACACCATGTTTATCCAAAAAAAACTACCTATGACCGGCTAAAAAAAATCAATATCTAAGTCAAATATCAAAAATCATCGATATAATTAAAAATATAATTTTATTTTACCCTAACAATTAATAAAATTAAAACTTATAAGTTTTTTTTTCCTTTTATTATTTTTAATATATGTTTTTGTTTGAACTTTTCCTTTTTAATTTATTTGCATGATCTAGAAATTATATAAATAAACTAACATGATCAATCAATGATTAAAAATATAATTTTATTTTAATGTTTTTTATTTAACGGTTTTCACATCCTTCACATTCTAATTTACAGATGTGACACCTATGTATTATTACTTACGTTGTTGTATATATGATGATTGAAACATTGTTCCAGTTTATTTGATAAAAACATTAATTATTTTCATTAATTAATATTTACATGATACTCATGACAACCATTATGCATACAAAAACATGCATGACAATCACTACACATATTATTATTTACATAACACTCATTACGTAAAATATTTAGAAAAAAAACCTTAATATTAAATTGTTAAAAAATTTAATGAAAAAACTTATAATAACCTATCTATATATAAATGAAATACCTATGACAATTGAATACAACTAAATAACAATTATGATTTACTATCAGTGTAACTTTTATTTACCTTATAATTGTATTTCAGTTTTCCCATGAACTCCTAATACTCTAGATGACCATTCAAGTTTAACAGAAGACAACTCTCGTTAATCATGGTTAGGTGCAAGGTTTCTATTTTACACTTCCAAGTTCATATATATATATATATATATATATATATATATATATATATATATTATATAAATATATATAATATAGGGGCTGGTTCAAATGTTAACCAAGATTATTGTGTTAACTTTGTTAACCAAACTTGGTTATTGATTCTTACAATAAACGGTTGTGATTAATAATGATAACAAATTAATTTTTTAAATTTACATTTCAAAAAACATATGTGAACAAAGGGGAAAAGGGTATTTAGGTAATTTATTTTTTTATGTAACTCCCGTATCATTAATTGGGAGTTACAAAATCAAAAAATCACATTATTTTTGTTAACGTAAGAACCATATGAACACACACACACCCCCTATATGGCAAGTGTCAAGGGTGTCATAGGGACAACACTTTTGAGTCAAGTTCAGAAGCTCTGAGTCTTGCTCAAAAGTTTTTGGTAATGTAATGTTGTTGGCTCATAGCTTCTTTCGACTCTCAAGCGCTTCGGACTAAGGAGTCAAAGTTTCTCATTCTAGAGGGATTTTGACTCTGAAGCGTTCAGTTTTTTTTATTTGTGTGTAGTTTTGGTAATTGCCACTAATTATCCCAACAATAATTTCCATTTTACGTGGAGATATTATTGACATTAATTTAAAAACCGTTATGATTTTCTAAGTTTAAAAGAAATTGAACTTTGTTAACACCTTTACTAAAAATTTGAGCTTATTCTCTAGTCGTTTTCGTAAAACTCAAACGGATTAAAATCAAAATACAACTTGCAAAAACGACGAACTCACAATTGTTTATCCAAGTTTTTTATATTGTTTTACGCAGGTTTATTGAGATTCCTCCGGTAATCCGGTAGAAGGGCAAAAAGGCATCATTTGGTTTTTAGATTTTTACAAGCGTGAACAGAAAATATTGATGATATCCACATGTCAGCTACATATTGGCACAGACATTCCAACTTCTTAAATAATTATTTGACTTTGTTTCCTTGGTCAAAATGTGAAACCTCAGGGTTTCCAGTTGTTCTTAAATTTCGATCTGCACATGGTTGTTGTCGTTTACTTCAACCAGACTCAACAATCTTCTTCGTGATTGCCTTTTCTGCATTAATCCCCTCTTCACTGGTTTTTGGGATTATATAATTGGGTATTATTCACCGACTCCATCCACCTCTGATCCTCTTCTTTATGATTTATGGCTTATTATTTGTGTTTCTGTTTAGCAGTGTGATTTTAAAAATAAATAGAAGAAAGAAAGGACATGGTAACGAGAAGTGATATRATTAGGTTATAAAATACCCTTTTCGTTTATAAACAAAACGTTTTAGCGTTTTACTTGATCACTATCCAACTCATGTTTCCACATTCTTAAGGGTCGCTGATTCATGCAGTTAGGTTACTTTTCTTGATTTTCTTAAAAGATTCATCTTGGGCTAATAGTCACTTTATATTTGAACACCTCTGCTTCTTTCTTCATTTCCCTTGATCATATTACCATTTAAATTTTAAGCCTATGCTTCATTCTCCTTTTCCCCATATATAAACTTGTCAGACCAAGGGAAGAATGTTCATCATATGATTGTTTTTTGTTGGCATAGGAACCATGTGTAATTGGATACTGTTTCTGTTTTT